ATATATATATATATATATATATATATATATATATATATATATATATATATATATATATATATATATATATATATATATATTCCGATTCTAATTTTGGGCCATTGATAGCCCAAGAGGCAAGAAGGCCTAATAAAATTCCTAATCGGCCCTCCTCTCCTTATCACCTCCCCATCTTTTTTGTTCCTCTCACTCGAAGACACGCCGTGGGGGGGTGGGGGGGATGGGGGTGGGCGGCGTAAGGACCCTCCACCTCCGGTGCTCGCCCGTGTTCCTTCGCCCTCCTCCTACTCGTTCTCCCCGCCTTCTTTGCAAACTCTTTTCCCCACCGAGAACCCTCCAGAAACGGCACTCGCTCTCCTTCCATTCCGCTGCTTCGCCGGACCCTCTCTCCTACTCGGGTATGCATCCTCTTGAACCCTCAACATACACGCATAGATCAGCTTTGTGTCGTTTCCATTGCTACGTAGCTCAATTTCTGTATTAATCGTTTATAAAGATGGGAAGAATTGATATGCAAACTAATGAACACATTCTGATATGCTTTAGAAGCTAAAATTTCACTCTTTCGTATTTTGGCAGTTGAAAATGGTAATGCAAACTCTTGTACGAGGTGCACTCATGGAGTTGTTAATGACATTTCATGCAACAAGCTTCTTCAAGTAGTGCTTGTTTCTCCACAGGTACTTGTGCAAGCTCTCTTATGTCGTCGAGCTATTACTTTTAACAATCTATCAACTTGTTTCTAATGAACATTGGACATTTTCCTATAATTAGCATTTTGTTGCTTACTCGATTCGATTTAACATGTAGTTGCTTGTTCTAGATTCATTCAAGTTTTGTATGTAATTTTAACTCTTGAATTTTGTCCCCAGAAGGATAGAATGTACTGTGTAGACATTATTAACTATATGATTCTTCAACATGATTCCCACTTGGTGTCCAGCGATTCCCAATTGACTAGCCTGTGACTGGCTTAAAAGGCCAATTTTATCTGATTTAAAGTCGATCAGAGCTTCTTTCCAGTCTGAACATATCTATGTTAGTTATGTTGGAAGACTTGATACTGAATCCAATTTGGCTAATCTAACTAATTTAGATCCTAATACTTATGTCTGATTTTAATTGGATGCTGATCCTGCAAATTTTGGATTCAGCATGTATGGATATCATTCAAACAGAAATATGCCAAGCGTTAAATCTTCTATGCATGTTTTCCAATATGAAATTAATGATTCTTTAAAAGGAACTTCAAATCACCAGAAGTCTCCTGGTGACTACCTGGAAGTTTACATGTGAGTAATATAGAAGATTGGCACAAGCCTCCTTTATCGCTAGTTCTGCCGTGATGATTGGTACAAGGAAAATTATTACATGATTTGCTGATGTAGGTTGAACTATTTCTGTATGGACACTTAATTCTCAGCTATTTTCAGATTAAAGATTTCTATTTGAAATGATGTCTCGTTTAACCTTCCAAATGCTTCTCTGTGAACTAAGACTAAAGAAGATTAGTTGGGACTACTGGACGAGAACAAAATGTGTTTCTGATGACAGATATGATATGCAGATTCCAGGAAATACAGGATCCATTGCCAGAACATGTGCAGCATCAGCTGTTGGTCTGCATCTTGTTGGGGTAAGGTTGGTGCGCATTGTCCTTAAAATTGAAATTTTGACTTCAAAATTCCGTGATTATTTTTTCTCTTTATCATGCTATTGATTAATTACTGATGTCACAAACATACATATGAAGAACAGCTGACCATCCTGTGAATTGCGAAATTTGGATGTCCCCACACAAATGCACAACCCCAAAGAAAAAAAGAAAAAACAGTAGTAACTAGAGATTTTCTGAATGTGATGTGGGTGGTTTATAAGTCAAGGGAATAGGTTTAGTGATCAGACCACATTGAAAGCATGGAAATATGCACTATTGCATATTGAAGAACAAGAGGAGCTATCCTTTGAACAAGTAAGATGTATGCTGGGGACATGTTTCTTCAAGTATTATCTGATGATAATTTCTTGAAGGGCAATAAAATTGGAACTTCAGATTAGTTATGTTGTCAGAAGGCATGTAGCTGCTACTGTTAGTTATGGTTTTTTATTTTTCTTTTAATGACTTATATTTGTCCATGTTGCTTGTCACTCACTGGTTCTCTTTCTTCCAGCCCTTAGGATATACAATAGAAGATTCTAAACTAAAGCGTGCTGGATTGGATTATTGGCCGTATCCTGCAGTTATATGGATTATGCAATGTGCTTGTGTGCTTCCTACCTCATGCTTTTTGTAATGTTCTTTAACTGTAAATAAGGAGTGTCAAATTTGACTTTTAAGAACAGAGGAGAAACTTTTAGTTTATCTTAAAAATTTGTGTAACTAAAGCAGTTCAGGGGACATTTGGACTCATACTTTGCTTGATAACATGTTTGAGTACAATGAAATTCTTTGTAAAATTAAAAAATTATTAATAAAACTATTTAAATCAGATGATAATTAATCATGAGATCAGTTTTCCAAGCTTAAAACTAACTTTAACAGATATGTGGTTGTTAAAGTACACACCTCTTGGGCCGAGTTTCGAGAATATTTCAGACAACAGGTAATTCCTCTTCTAGCTGATGATATCATGACACTCTTTTATCTTCATTTGATCTTTGATGTGTTAATCAACTTGTCTCAGGATGGTGAAAAACGGCTTTTAGCATTCACCAAGAGAGGCACACAGATCCACTCGGTGAGTAGTGAACTGGGTACTTGTAGTGGATCTCTCAAAGTTCTTTTCATATCATAACTACCTTATCTTTCTGGAGTATGCATTACATCATTGTCTCTTCAAAATGTCAATCATTCCATGGATGATAGCTTTGAAATAAATGCTGGTACCATGGTAGATTCTTAAAGTTTCAGAGATAGTTTAGGGTTCTTATCCTTGGAGTGTCTGAAGGAATATGCACGAGCATTAAATTGTCACTTTTCTAACTGTACTCATAGCTTGCATGTAAGAGTATCCTTGTTTCTGCAAAGCAGTGCTGTAAATCTAGTAGTCTCTTGATCTGGATGCATAGTTTGATCCGCCTCACCCTACCTCCAGGATTTCACCTACAAGCGAGGTGACTGGCTAGTTTTCGGTTCGGAGACTAGCGGACTACCACCTGAAGCTCTGTTTGACTGCAGCGCAGAAGGCCTCGGTGGTGGAACCGTCAGAATTCCAATGGTTGAAACATATGTCCGCTGCCTGAACCTCTCCGTCAGTGTCGGAATTGCTCTGTATGAAGCATCCAGACAGCTGAACTATGAGCAGCTTCAGTACCCGCTCTCGAGTGAGGATGAGAGCCAACGATTATTCTTGTCGGAAGATATTTTTGGCTAATGTGGAGGGAGGGCTCATGTTATGGATGTCTAAAACCTTGTGTGTTAATTCCATGTAGCTAGTAGGAACAAAGATTCGAACCAGCAGATATGTTGCTGGAAAATTTTTGCCGACTTGCTTCAAGATGAAGAAGATGGCATATGATCGGCATAGCCACATCACCTTGCCATGCATTGCTGGAAAAGTAAATGATTGGAAATGTATACCTTGACATATATTTCCTTTTTCTTGCTGAAGAATGTACCAATTTGACTTACCATTATTGCATTTGGTATCTATCCTTCATATTTCTCAAACTGTTACAACAGCAAGGATATGTCCTATTTATTTTATTTTTAATATTTTTTTAAAAGATAAATAATGAAGGCGAAATTTGATATCAAAAGTCAAATGTAGTTGACAGTCTTGTTAGATGTTTATAGAGAATTAACTTGACATGTCATGGTAAATATTTTTAAAAACATATATATGTATTTTAGCAGAACAAATTAATAAATATATTAGCATGTTAAATATGAATAATAATATCGTGTACTTTAAATATGTTGAATTAATTATATTTCTCTTTAATCTAAATTTAGGAAAAAGGATTTTTATTTTTCTCTTTGAGATGTGGCCCAGAGAAGCGCTTTGGCCCGGCCCATTTCTAATCGCTTTAACTAGGGCTAAGTCTCGACCGGAACAAGGTGTCAAGGTGTCTCGGTCATCTTCCTCCATCTCGTACTCACCAGATACCGCGATGGCTCCTCTTCCATCGAAGGCAATCGCGGCGGTGTCTGGCATGGTTCGACAGCGGCTGAGGGCGGCGGTGCGGACCAGAGGCGGCGGCGGGGAGGGGGCTGGGCGGTGGACGAGCCCTGGGACGGAGGAGCGGCCCAAGGGGTACATCTTCAATCGGCTGCCGCCCCCCCCGGGGAAGTCGAGGGAGTGGGAGGACTGGGAGCTGCCCTGCTACATCACCTCCTTCCTCGCCATCGTCATCCTCGGCGTCGGCCTCAACGCCAAGCCCGACCTCACTCTCGAGACCTGGGCCCACCAGAAGGCCCTCGAGCGCCTCCAGAAGCAAGAAACCGCCTCCGATTCTGATTAGGCAGATCGCTCTACCCCTCGGTCTCCCGGTAAAAGCTTCGCCTTGGATCTCGCCTTTTGTTTCTATGGTCATCGGAGTATTTGGAGTTTAGGGTTAAATAATATGAAGGGATCACGCGTCTTGATAGGATTCTCTCGAATTCTGCAAACAAAGTGGAATTGTGAAACCCTTAATCTGTGTATTTTCCAAGTTTTATGCTTCACCAAATTTAAGATCTTTATCAACTATGGCGTTTAAGAATTTGAATGAGTGTGCAATGGTTTTCTTTAGATGCACGCTGGCTTAATTTGTTCGCAATGAGATAGTGGATCTGCAACTTTCTCAGATTAAGCAGCACATATCTTTTGATTCTAATGCAAATTCTGTGGATTCCCTTTTATGTTATTGTGTTTGGTTTCAGTTTGCGACCTTCACATTTAATTGTGGATTATAGGTCTTCCATTTGTATATCGGAAACTTATTGTTTTCACTTTGCTCTATATTCTTGTATCTGCTAATTTTAGGACTAAGATGAGATCAGACTCTAAAATTCACATGTTTATATCTACACAGGACTGCTCTTAAGGAATTAATTATCGACATAAATATGAAGTCTTTGCCTTTTGTTAATTGAAGGCATGCTAAATTATTGTTTTACCATGAAATAAATTCCAATTTAGAAATTGAAGAAAAAGGGATATGGAGGACCCATAATGCTATTAGCAAAAACCAGTATTCGTGATTTTGAGAATGGAGATGTTTTGGAGCATAATGAAATGGGTATTAACTGAATATTTTGCAGGTTTAATCTATAGGGAATTTCCGACGAAGTTATGGAACAGTTAAGCGGCCTGATTAACTATGGTATGGTTCACAATAGAAACAGTGACTTTGGTTAAGTGGCCTCGCCAATCTCTTAAACGGATGAATTTGAGAACTTTTTGCAAGCCATCTTAAGTTTCAAGATTATATCTGTCATGAGTTTTTTTAGGAGTAACTTGTCATAACGCTGCAGCAATTTGTGTATCGGAGATCCAGCTTTTCTGCTGAAAATTTTGTGTGGCCTTCTCAACTTAGAATTATGCTCCATGTCCAATTCCTTATCGATCGTTTTGGTTGGTTAGTCTTGAAATATTAGGTTCATATATATAGGTTGGGATTGTTTTTGAGTTACTGTGACCGTGCCATGTTTATAGTGTCCTGAACCCATCGGAACCAATTTAACATTACCTATATTTTACAGTTCCAGTTCAACCTAAAGTCTCCCTTTTTTAGAAGATTTAACTACAGAAGGCTCTGTTGTCGATCATCTTAGTAATGACTGATTTATTCATATCCAACAGATGCAGTTGCTCATGTTATTTGCAGTTAGTTTATGCTTTCAGAATTACAAACATTTTCAATGCTTTAGTCTCATCTAAACAATAGGGTTGCTCATCTGCAGAGACTTAGGTGAATGCAAGAAAACTTAATGACCATATTATACGCTGGTCTTTGCTACCATGTGCTTATCACCAATAAGATTAAAAATATTTTTACATGATTTAGGGTTCTCCATGCACCATTGTCTTCTCCCAACAAAAAGGCCTGCTTAACATGTTATTGAATTGATTGAGGATTATCTTTTGTTTGCCTTTTTTGCCTTTTGGGAAAATTATAATGCCACTAGGAGATGAGTTAGAGCTGGAAGTGCCTTTATTGTCCCAAAGGAAACAATATATATATATATATATAGTGAGTCTTGAGAAAGTTAATGAAGTTTTTGGTTATCAAACTTTCTGATCCATCCATCTGATATGCAACAGGGCTTTTGGATTTACATTACAAGTTCACCTGTTTGACAATTTTCCAGCACTTGTATTTATTTTATGAAACCAGTGTTTCTCTGTACACATCACAAGGAAAACTCTCCTATTTTTTTATTGAATTAATTTTAACTGAACAATAAGTGAGAGAAACAAAAGGAGGCACAGAAAAAGGCTTTGGAGGTCAATCACCACCACCACCACCGTGACTTCAAACTCCAATGTTGAAGTAGGTGGTGTAGGTCTCATCTCGCAAGCTCAGTAATGGCTGGAGCAGAAAGCTTCTCTTGGTTCCCTTCGCCGTGAAGCTGATGGGGTGATACCCACTCAATCCCTTCCCGAACGTGAAGCTCGCGGCTGTTTGGAACGCGGCACCATGGCGGTCGTCGTCGTTGGCTGGACAAACAAGCTGAACGCCATTACCCGAGGGGCAATCGTGGTGAACAAAGCAGCCCGGTGTGCTGTCAGCTTCCAGCGAGATGGTGGTCGCTTTCCCATCCAATCCTTCCACCACCCGAAACATGGAAGCATTTCGATCCTGGGGCACGTCCTCCGTGACAGAGATAACGAGCCCTTTACCGGCACCTTGGTGACGTACCACCTTGTCCGGGAGATCGAACGGCTCGAGGAGGACGACCCTTCCGATGACGGCCTCTCGGGATGCGATTCGAGGTACGGCTTTCTGGTCCGTGTAGACGAGTCTAAACGTGGCTTGCGCAGCAGCATTCGTTCCGAGCTTCGGAGATGCTGCCATGGTGAGCAGGCGCGTGGCGTCGAGGCCGGAGGCGTTCACCCCGGAGAGGAACGTCGTGCCGCCGCAACTCTCCTGGGTGAGCGAAACGAGCTGAAGCCTGTGATCATCCGGAACTGGCAATATCCATTCAGAGAGCCCTTGAGCCACATCCTGCTTTCCCATTTCGAATTCACCAGAGCTGAGACCGACGAGAAGGTACGGTCCGAATAGAACTGCTTTCAATGATGAGAACTCCGGACGATCATCTGCGCAAGCAAACATCATGACTACAAATCAAGCAGCAACAACAGCGGCAGCAGTAGCAGTCTCCACCAACTGACCTTGTATGGCCTCTGTCCTCACTCCAATTGGCATCGACAGGTTCAACAAGTCTTTGCTGCCCCACGTCTTGGTGATCGACAAGACATTTCCTATCATCATCAGCGAAAAAGGTTGGACAAGCTTTACCTGGGAATTGTAAGTGTCATACTACTGCGGTCTCACCTGGAGAAGGTACGGCCACGCTTTGTCCATTTATCGTAGCTACCGCCCCACTATTAGAAGTCCAAATCGGTACGCGAATGCTCAACGTAGAGCTCTTAGATGGCGACTGCGAAATATAATCGAAAACTAATCAAACTTTCGATCAAAATCCCTAAAACTGCATAGAACTCGTGCTGCTGCATCACCTTGTTTACGCTGGCGACTGTGAATTGAACTCGAAAATGGTCGTCGAGCGAAGAAACTTGTTGTGTGTTTTGCTGCAGGGTGAGTTCTCCTGAACGCCAATTAAGAGTGCTCGATATGAACTGGATGACATACAGAGTTGGAACGGCACCCTCTTCCTCGAAGTATATCGAATCCCCGAGCTTCGAAAAGGACTCGATGGCTGCGACAGCATAGAAGAAAGTGAGTAGAAATGTAAGCGGTGACCAAGCAATTGAATTGGGTCGAGGGAAACATTAGAAGGACCTGTCCCATAGCAACACCAGAACGATGCAGTGGGAGTTCCCCAGCCACCTTGGCCGCTCACTGCTTTCGAACCTCCAGGGTTCATAGGGAGGAAATAGATCATGATTCCTGGTTCAGTCCCCCTTTGAATGCTCAACACTCCATTTGTCAATGCGCGTTCATAGTGATCCGCGTACGCCATGTTCTTTGTCCATCTCAACAGATTGCGAGACACCTGCATCATGCATGTTTCAATCCTCTACTGTGTTTAGAGTGGCAAACGGTGGCTTCTCTGTAGCAACGGGATGGAGATAGCCTGACCCGATTCCGGTTCGGTTCAAACCAGAACCGAGTCGGTCAATCGTCAATGAATGAGAACCGACCTTCGACGGTTCCTAAATCGGAGAAACAAAAGAATGAAATGAACCAGAGTGACGAACCTTTAACAGGTTATAGGTAGTGCAAGATTCTTCAGTGTTCACTAGCAAGAAGCTCGCCAAGCGATTCGGCTCAGTCCTACATGCAGAAGAAAGAAGAAAGAGAAGAGAGTAGTCAACAAATCTTTGTCAGCTTCAGTGTAGAACAAAAGTTCGGTCCTACTAACCAATGTTCATTTACGGTCGATCCACCCGTTGCATATGAGTGCGAGGAATTCACAATGTCCATAAATGTCATTCCAATTTCCTGCAGTTAAAAGAAGAAGAAGAAAAAGAGCTTAGCCAAGTGGGAACTGTGGCAAGAAACCTAAGTTAAAAACACCTTGTAGAGCAAGTCTCCAGTTATTTCGTATCGCTTCTGAGCCCCAACCACTATTGGAATGTGTGTGTTGCCATGGAATCCCGAAAGGAGATCAGCCTGTAAAAGAAGCAATCCTCCCTCATCTTGTATCATCATCATATTTATATTCTCGAGAAAGCACATCAGATGTTACCTGCACTGCAAGTGGTCCGAGAAAACATGGCTTATCGAATAGATGAGCCAACACCAAATGTTTCGTATTATTCTGCATCATCATCATCATCATCAGTATCTCTTAAATGAGACATGTAATCTGCATCTTATTTCTCTTGCAAACATGTGTATATGTGTGTATATATATACCGTGACTGTGTACAGCGTGTAGAGGACGTCGTTCATGCCACCGGTTTCTTCGTTCATGGCTTCCCAATGCCATGCGATGGAACGCTTCTTGATGTTATCTATCACACGGTTGCCGAAGTATTCAGCCATCCAAATCGCCATGTCTAGTGCTTTTGCATTGTTACCATGCAAATACTGATCCACCAGTCCGGCCAGGATCTGTATATTGATGGTTAACATCTCCCTTCACGTACGCATGATGCATGAACGTATGATACGTACCTTATGGATGGTGTAGTAGGGAGCCCATACGACTTTCACTTCTTCGTACAGGTCGAACTCCTCCGTAGAGAAAGCTGAGAGATACCCGGTTCCGATCTTCTTTTGGCACTCGTCGAGTGCGTCGACCACCGCGCTCATCCTGTCGCGTATCGTCCCGTTCTCAGTGGCTGCCCACATTAACGCTGTTGCACTCATGTAGTGCCCTGAAGAAGCTCACACATATCAATCGAATGTATATATTGTCATCACTAGATCAAGGATGGGTTCGAGAGCAAGCTCATCACCAACAAAGTGGCCGCGGAGTTGTCCGTTAGGTTCCTCCCATCCGAGGTAGGGTTCGCCGGGCGTCGGTAGGCCTGCCAGCTTGCGGAAGCTCCAAACGAGTCGGTCCACGTCGAGGAGCAGCAGGTATTCCAGATTCGTCTGCTGGGCTGTGCCATGGAAAGAACTGGGGTCGACTCGGACGTCACGGAGAGATATCTCCTTCAGGAAGCTACCGCCGTTGGCGGCGGATTTCATCCCCGGCCGCTTCACGGCTCGGTACAGCATGGCCCAGTCGAGCTCGGTGACCACCGGCTGGCCGGCCTTTCGCGGGAGAATGTTCATCCACGTCGACTCCTCGTTCGGGTTCAGATGGTAGCGAGAGAGGGAGTCCACCATCGTGCTGCGGTTCTGGCCGAGAAGTTGGTAGTGGGCGACCGTGGAGGCGGCGTCGAAGATCCTGTCGGTGCATCTGTTGGCGGAAGCGGGAAAGAAGGCCATGGCGGCGGCGATTGCCATTAGGAGGGCAACAGCCAAGCGATCCATCATTTTGGTCCGAAGAAGAAGAAGGAGAAGAAGAAGAAGAGGGAAGAAGGATGGGATTTTAAGCTGGCTGGAAGCATCAAATTCTCTCCTTTGACTCGGCTTTGTTCTTTGAACCACGCGAGCAACGCCATGCATTCGCTGCTTCTCCTGTACTTTCTCTAACGATACAATGAATCACCTCCGATTTAGGTATAATTTTTTATTTAGTAATCAATGAAATATAGAAAATAATTATTCAACATTCTAATATGGATCATATTATTTTTTGTCAATAAATTAAAAATATATATTACCTTAAGGAAACAGTTGTACACACACTTCCGATTTAGGCATTATTTTTTTATAAAATATAATTATTAACATTCTAGTATGGATAATATTATTTTTATCAATAAATTAAAAATATATTACCATAAGGAAACAGTTGTATGAGGATTAGTTTGTGTACTTTTCTATAACGATACACCTCCGATTTAGGCATACTATTTTTATTTAGTAGCTAATAAAATTTAGAAAATAATTATTAACATTCTAGTGTGGATAATGTTATTTTTGTCAATAAAGTAAATAAGATATAAAAATTATTACCTTAAGGAAAGAGAGGAGTTGGATGAGGACAGATATGTTACTTTGTCTTCTCATGTACTTTCTATAACGATACACCTTCCCTTTAGGCATGATTTGTTATTTAGTAGCTAATAAAATTTATAAAATAATTATTAACATTCTAGTGTGGATAATATTATTTTTGTCAATAAATTAAATAAGATATAAAAAAATTAAATAAATCATTACGTTAAGGAAAGAGGAGTTCATGAGGACAGTTGCGTTACTTTGTATTTTTCTAAAATTTTAAAGTATTCTTTTAAATATTTAAAATTTTATTTTTAAAATTAAAATATATTATAATTATTCATATTATATATAGTTTCTGAAAATTTTAATTCCTTTAAATATTTAAGTTTTATTTCAAACTTAAAATACTTTGTAATTATTGATGTTTTTATATAATTTCTAAATTTATTTATATTCTTTTTAGTGTTTAAAATTTATTTTTAGATTAAAATATATTTTAATTATTCATGCTATATAGTTTCTAAATTTATTTATATTCTTTTTAGTGTTTAAAATTTATTTTTAGATTAAAATATATTTTAATTATTCATGCTATATAGTTTCTAAATTTTTTATCTTTTTAATCTAATACTATTTATTATGTTTTAATAATTCAATATTAATGATTAGATTTTTTATTATAATTTCATGATATTGTAATTTGAAATTAAGAAAATTGGTCAAGATATATAGGTTGAAATCAAGTAGTAGGTTTGGCTAAGCCCATGGGTTAAGCCATAACCCATAGACTAGGCCTAGCTAATAAGTTAAGCCTAACTCCTAAGTCAAGTTTCAACATGTAGGCTACAGTTTAGTCCATTACCCTTTGTTTTATTGAAACTTAAATATTGATTAGACAAAATTAGATTTAATCAATTTTAGATTAATTTAGGGTCATTCTAAATCGGTTTAACCTATTTAAATTTATTTAACCTAAATTAAACCTAATATTATCTAAATTATATCAGTCTGTTCCAAATTGATTAAACAAGGATTAGAGATTGATTTTGTCCAAGGGTTTAGGTGGATAATTGATATTATTTAATTTTAATGATGATTAAAAAATAAATTGAGATGCTTTAATATATTATTTTATCTTAATATTGATATAACCAATATGAGATAATTTTATTTCCTTACCGAGGGCAAGTAGAATAATTTCTTTTGGTGATTAGTAGGCTGTCAAACATGATAGCTAAATAGTTCCTCTATCTATTATTGGGAGGAAAATATCCTCACTTTCATATGTATAAGACACCACTTCATCAATTGTTGGGAGTATGGCATGAGTTTGCCTTGATCCATTGTTGAAAAATATAAACTTATCTTATAGTACAAAGCTTCTCCATCCACTAGGGAAGTGCACCTTCGGGTTTTCGATATATGTCAGTAGATAATTGACTTTTAAACATATATTAGTTTCACATTTGACTGGTAAGAGTCCATATTTAATATTGTTAAATTTATTTTATTTTATTTTTGATTTTCATAGTAATTTCTTAATAAGCACCGGATCATTCCAACAAAAAGCAAACCTTCCTCTACCGCTATGTAGATAGATTTATTTTTGAGTTAACATAACTATATTTCTTAATAAATTCTATGACTATTTTTTATTTATATTTTATTAAATAAATTATTTATAATTAATATTTATATAGTATATATTAATAAAGTGTTGTTCATTTATTTAACTCTTGGTGTACACGTGGAAGATGTTATGGTCCCATGAAACAAAAAAGATATGATGTGATATTTTTTATGGTATCAGAGCATAGAGTATGGTATCAGAGAAACTTGCCCCTCCTCGTTGCTCAAGACATGGAGGTTGAGAAACCTGACCTCTTCATTGCTTGAGGTGTAAAGGTATAGCCTTACTGAGGACTTAAAGATAGAGCATCCTAACTCTTCTCATCGTTGACCCGAGATGCTGGGATTGGTCACCTTAACCCTCTTTAGGCATGCCAAATGTATATTAGTTTAGCACTCAAATCTTACTAAATAAAATGATCAAAGGAGCCAAGTCAATATATTTATAGAGGTCTCATGTCAACTTAACCCTAATGGATCTTCCCTTATTAGGTATTGGATCTTCATCCAACTACCCAAACCTCTTAGATTAGTGGATCTTTATCCAATAATCTCTTAAGGGCTCTTATTGGATCTCATTCATAGGATCCAATAATTCAGGGGCTTATTAGATATCTAATAAGATACGGGCTCCGACAAATATCTCATATCCGATTCTTAACTCATCGTAACACATATCATATGTGTGTGCCCCTCTAGGCCCAATATCGAACAAGCCATGAGTCATATCTGTCAGAACTCCTTCTGACCCAATGAATTATTATTTTTATAATAATTCACTCAACTTATTGACTGCGGACATACTAGGCCACTACGCCATAGTTCTCAGATGATATAGGAGAATCCAATCCATTGGACCTATCTGTCCTTAGTTACAATGTACCTATAGTTCATAATATATTTAATATCCTAAAGATAGTATACCAGGCATGGTACTGTCAGACTCATATGGTTTTTACTCAAGTCTTGCTCTAATTTGATTCTTCCGGAGAACTCTTTTGATCTTAATCTGAATGACCCTTAGAAATTTCTCTCATGACACCGAAAGTGGATAATTCTCTATTGACACTCAATAGCCCTCGTAAGGTTGATTGTCACTCACGATGACCAGTTGTACTAGATTTGAGACATCCAAACTTATAAGTCCGGCATCAAAGAGTGGAGCACTCATATAGGATATCCTTGGTGTCTCAAGTCTAAAGACCAAATACACCACTGGGACTACAGAATCATTGTTTAACAATAAGACATCATCAACCATCCAACATTTCGTAAGCGGATCAATCAGTGAACTCATTCTCCAATGAGCACTTGTACTGTATCTCTAGTGTCCCCACACGAGCAGCTATGAGACCAACTGCATCCATCATATGGACGGGTATACAGCACACTAGTCTGTCCGGTTATCTCGATTTCCTTCTCGAGTAACTTATGACTGAAATTATTTATGAACTATGTTTAAAGGTGAATCGGTCTCATTATCGTGATCTCATCACGATCCGATTCTCATTACATAGATCCAAGGACATCACAATATATATTACATATATTCAATAATCGATATATAGTGATAAAATATTAAAATATAATAAGTAAAAAGATTGCGTGTCAAGTCACACATGTCATCACTCACGTGATTGGCTTGCTGGGTACATATGACTAGTATTATCTCCATAATATTTCACTAGACTCATCGATTGCGGGCGTACTATGCCACTACGCCATAGTCCATAGACGAATAGGGGAATCCAATTTATTAGACCTGTCTGTACTTAGTTACCGTGTACCTATAGTCCATTATCCATCTAATATCATAGAGACCGTATACTGGGCATGGTGCTATTAAACTCATATAGTTTCTACTAGAGTCTCGCTCTAGTCGGATTCTCTTGTAGAACTCTTTCTCTCTCAATCCGAATAACTCTGGCTAGGATTTGTTTGAGCAAGAACACATGAGATAGTCCTCTCATGACACCGAGAGTGGATAATTATCTATTGACACTCAATAGTCCTCGTAAGGGTGATTGCCACTCTCGATGACCGGTTATGCTAGATCTTGAATCTCCAAACCTATAAGTCTGATATCAAAGAATGAAGTACTCATATAGGATATCCTTGGTATCTCAAGTCTAAGAACCAGATATACCACTAGGACTACAGAATCATTGTCTGACAATAAGACATCATCAACCATCCAACATTCCATAAGCGGATCAATCAGTGAACTCATTCTCCAATAAGCACCTGTATTGTATCCATATACGAGCAACTATGAGACAAACTGCATCTATCATATAGACGGATATACAGCACATTAGTCAGTCCGGTTATCTCGATATCCCTCTCGAGTAATGTATGACCGGGATTATTTAGGATATATGTTTAAAGGTGAATCGGTCTCATTATCATGATCTCATCACAATCCGATTCTCATTGTATAGATCCAAGGACATCACAATATATATATATTACATATATACAACAATCGATATAAAGTAATAAAATATCAAAATATAATAAGTAAAAAGCATACGTGTTAAGTCACACGTGCCATCACTCATGTGATTGGCTTGCATGACACATATGACTAGCATTATCTTCATAATATTTCACTTGACTCATCGACTGCGGACGTACTAGGCCACTATACCGTAGTCCCCAAACGATACAAGAGAATTTAATTTATTAGACCTGTCTATACTCCGTTACTGTATACCTATAGTCTCTCATCCATCTAATATTCTAGAGACCGTATACTAAGCATATGATTGACTTGCATGACACCTATAACTAGCAGGGTGTTGAAGGGATCAAGTTGGGAAACCCCTCCTCACCTTAATTTTTTTGCAGGTGACACATCATGAGCTTGACGTTTTTACCTCGATCATATCTCGGATATCCCTACACATAGGTCAAAATCATATTGGGCTAATCTAGATGTTAATAATATTTTCCCATAACACTTTTCCTGTAGAGTTATAATGTTTTCCGATTAAAGTCTTTATATTATGTTATAATGTTTTCAACAATTATATATTACCTAATACAAAAACAATATAAATTAATAAAAAACATAATTATATATTATTTATGTACTAAACAATTATATTTATATTATTTTTACTGTGTTATAGCATTTTTAGTAAAAAACATTGTAATGTAGTTAAAAAATATTATAATACAGTAACACAATATTTTTATTTTCAACCATACTAATAAAAACATTGTAATGCAACATAAAAACATTGTGTTAAACATCATAACACAATATAAAATACTGTAGCACAGTATTTCTAACTGTGTTATAGTGTGTTTTTGATATTGTTAAATACATTATAAAGTAGTGTAAAAACATTGTAACTGGTCACCTATGTATCGGTCGATGAAAAGAACAAAAAGGAAAAGGAAAGGAATAGTCGACTGCAGATATTTTAAGTATTAGGTAAAAAAATACGTCATTTGGGGATTTTAGAAATGAGACGTTTCTCGGGAAACATTTAAAAAAGGGGGTTATATATAAAAGTTCGTCCGGACCCGAATCCGAATCCGAATCCGAATCCGTATTCGTAGTCGTTGACTTTGTCTCTCGTCCCCGATCCGGTGCCCTTGGTATAGCGGCCAAGGAACCTCGCCTCTCCAGAAAACCCATCCAAGAATCTTGACATCCAGAAGAAGAAAAGGTTAAGTTCTCTTCGAATCTGCCTGCTTTCGAGTTTGTTTACTCGATTATCGTTTTATCTTCGCTTTCGATCGATCTAATATGTATTTGAATGATGTATTTTTTTCCACTTCGCCGCCAAATTCCATGACGATTTCTCTTTTGTTTCTTATCCTTTTTTTTTCTTTTTTCCTTGTGATTTGTTGGTTGAAAAGTTAGTGTTATTGTTGGTTGATTCCTCCATCGCCTTAGCGACGGGTTAGGGTTTCGAGATTTCCTTTTCTTTTCTGGGTCTCATGAGATGGCCGGCGGCCTGACTGCAGGTGATCAAGTGTTTGATTTTTAGTCGAGTTATTTGTTACTTGTTGTACTCCCTCGTGAACAACTCGGGAGCGCGGTGCAGATTGCGGTGCAAATGGTAAGTTATGGTGTTCTGCAATGTTGGTGTTACTGTAAAGGGATTACGAAGATTTACTATCGGAAATCGTAACATATAGGGAAACTAAATTGTTGATACATTGTGTCATCCTGTTGAGTGTGTCAAAGTTGTTAATAAACTGCATTAAACAACGTTCTCTTCTCCACGCAGAGAAAGATCTTCGCTTTGATTTTCTCTATCTATGTCTAAGAATGTTTGCTTTTATCTATCTAGTCAGGTAGGAAGGAAACAGTTCATGATTTGGCGAAGTTCATCGACAAAGGCGTCCAGGTCAAGTTAACTGGGGGAAGACAAGGTTTCTTATTCATGTTATTCTTGGGTCCAAATTATGCACTATATTCTGGCATGTTAATTGTTTCTACATCTATTATTATCTCTCAGCTGCCTAATCCATGAAATAACTCATTTGAGTGAATGAAGTTTCTGGTTTTACTCTCTGATCAATGTTATCTAGACGGAAAGTCATTAGCTGATTTACATGCTTGAAATTTAGGACAGTGAATGAAGCCAGAAGAAAGCAAACAAAAGCATGTATAAGAGTACCATTTCTCTTGACATGTCGGTCAGATCTTTGGTACGCTTGGACTACTAATTGAAGGCAATTTTTTTTTTCAAGTTAATGTATTTTGAAAATCTATCTATAGTGATATCTTTCTAATGTTAGGTAGATGGATCCCTTACTCTTTTTGGTAGTGATAGATATGATATATTGCTTAGTATCCAAAGATGATGAGAGCTGAATTATAATCTGCATGACTCCTATATTATGTGTGCATAATAAGGATAGTTTCTCACTGTACGCCAGTAAAGAGATTCCTCAAATGTTCTTCTTCAGGGCAATGCTATCTTGAGGAGATCATTACAAATGTGGAATGAAAGTTAATGTAGTTTAGTGCGGTGCGTAAACTACTTTCCCTGTAGGAGGATTTGTGGTGGAATGTTATGGGAAGTTTTCATGAGCTGGAGTCACAAAATTGTATCCCACATGTTTTCATCTGTGAAGAATTTTGTGAAAAATGTGGATCTTGATGAGAATGTCAGGGACTTGAATGTGGAAGATTGTGATGCTTGGATACTTCCTTATCGGATGTGGGGCATGTGTTTGAGATAATTTGAAAATCACTAGCCACCTTGAAAAATTAACTTGTTGAAAATTCTCTTTTGGAGCAGGAGCAACTTTTTGGGGCCTAATCATGAATGAAATCTGCTATATTAGAAGCACTTTAGGGGGAGCATGCAAATACGTAGACATAAAATAAGTGATAAAGAACATGATGACTCTTGTATCATTGGTGAATATTGACCTTAATAGTGCCAAACGATGAGAAAAGAGCAACATAATTGATCCCAGATAGTTCAGATGTAAGGCTTCATTTTATTGTTGATTTAAAAACCCAATGATGTGCTTCTTTCATATCTTTTTTTTTCTAGATGATGTCGGCACTGAAATCTTCTAGATGTCAAACAACACCAAAATTGTTGTTTAGAACTCTCTTCAGGAGAGGATGGTCCTTTTTCTCTCACATTCTAACAATTTTTTTGAATGGTCCTTTGGCACGATAGGAAGGAGCAATTTAACTGATATGAAATGTAACTTGATTGAGCCAATTGATGAGAAATGGGCAATGTAACTGATCCCAAATAGTTCAGATGAAGGCTTGAATTTTTTGTTGATTTACAATCCCAATAAGTGCCTAATTATACTTGAGGTCTAACAATATCCCTTACATGTTCACTTAGCAACTCCAATATTGTTGCTTAGAACTCCCTTCAGGAAAGGATGGCCCATTTTCCTCAGCTTTTAAGATTTCTTGAATGGTCAAAGTCACAGTAGAAAGGAGCAACGTAACTGACCCCAGTGGACCTCGATAGAGCCTAATGATGATAAACCCCAAATAATTTAGACGTAAGACTTTATTTTATTGTTAACTTAGTAAATTACAGACCCAGTAATATGCTCCTTTCTTATCATTTTTATTTCTTGGTTTATTCAGTACCAAATTCTCGTAGAGATCTAATAACAGACTCTACATGTGAGATCTAATAACATGCCATACATTATCACTTTAGCTACTACTCAATGGTGTTGTTTATAACTTTCTTCAGGCCAGGGGCTGATTTCGTCTCAGCTTCTAAGTATTTCTTGAATGGTCAAAAGTTTTTTAGAAAGTATCATTTATGTTTGTAAATGGTGACACGTTGGTAGTTTGCTGGTTTCAGAAAGCTGCTTGTGTACCTCGATAAGGACCATTAGAAGTAAACCTGGTAGGCATATGTTGAAGTGAAAAGGTTATGATCAGCTGCTAAACTTGGTGCTAGACAAAGCGACAGAGTTCCTGAGAGGTAACTAATTTTCCATGATCATGTTAATTGAAAGTTGTCTATGGGTAGCACTTTGTTTACTGTTCATGTTGCTAAACTGATCAGGTTGCTTTCTCTTGATGTTATGCATCATAAACTTTATCCAATTTAGGACATCCACAGTGCTTCTTGGTGTAAACTATTGGTTCTCTTGCAATATTAGGATAATATTAAACTATTGTTGTCATTATAAATATATTTAGATCCTTGACCACATTGTTTTGTATGCCTAAACGAATAGTTATAGGACCAAAATTAATGTATTCAAAGTTAGACAATGCTTCTTGAACATTGTTATCCTATTCTTGTAGATCCTGATGATCCACTGAAGACAACTGATCAAACCAGGCGCCTTGGTCTAATCGTAAGTATATTGACTTTTCTTTTATCAGGAAGACCTCCTTTTCTCTTGGTTCAATTGAGAACCCTTTGCCATCAGATGAAAATACACGTTGAGAGTGATATACATGTTGCATTTATCCATGATGGCCATGCATATTGAGAATGACACTGTGTTGCATTTTCTATTGTGAACGTCATTCACTCTGACTTGCATCTCTTAAAGATTTTGAAATGTTACTGAAATTTTTGGGCTTCAAAAGTTAAATGGAGCTCTTTGCTTTTTCTTTGCATTTTATTCTGTTGTTGTCCTCCCATACTCATCCTACAATATTGGAAGACACTTTGTAGGAAGGTACACAGGCATCTCCAACATCACTGTTTCCTGTATTGTTTTGCAGATATGTAGGGGGCCTGCTGTAATGTTGGACTCGCCTGACAGATGGAACAGATGAAATTGCAAACCCCTTTATCCAACCGGATGGAGCCTAGGTAGATTTCGTACTTGTTAATCAAATGATCTCCGTATCTTTTATTAGCAGTTTGCCGCTTTGTTATAAAAAAAATTTATTTGAGAAAAAAATCATTTTAGTGGCGCTTCAAATTGTCTGGATATTAATCTGATCATTACCCCCACTGGTTTCAAGTATTTCACACCTCTAGTCTGCTCTGTTTTGAATTACCTGGATGTGTTTCACCATATTTTGACATTGTGTTTAGAGCTGTAAAACTCCCCCCTAGTAAATTCAGATTAGTCTTCAGATACTTCCATTCTACTTGGTAGCAACATTGCTCCGTTTGCTTAGCTTTTAGGCTTCACTCTTCAGCTGAATGGTCCAGTGGTCAAGTGGGGAAAGCTTTGCTCCCACATTGTTCTCTCTTAAGGTGTAGCAGCTTTCCAGATTCAAGTCATGATGTGTTGGTTGTTTGGTATGGCAGGATGTCGATTTTATTTGCTGGCATGCTCTCTGCTTGGCTCGGAACAATACTCGGACAACAGAAGGAAGAAGGCACGGCATGAACAAGCTGCCACCGCAGGAACTGCGGGTCACATGGTCCTCCTCCTGCCGTAAGAAGAAGCTGCAGAGAGGAAGACGAGACGAGGTGGGCTGGCGGGGGTCCTCCTCCTCGATACAAGGATGGGGTGGACCGCCTCCACCTCTTCCCCTTCGCTCCGGGATAAACTGCAACCGAACAATGAGCGGAACGTGCCATGCTGGTCGCCCGATATGATGATAAGGTCCTCACTTACCTTTCTAACTGATCGCCTTGTCCTCTTCCATTATGCATTCTTAATGAGCGGTTTCAACAACAACAGCCGCAGGCCATCATCACCTCGTCCTAACTCTATGATGGTACGGTTCCATGCTTCCTCTTCCTTCTGTGCTATAAACTGATTTGGATCATCTAATCTCTAAAATAACATATGCTCATTCGAGGAATATGGCTAATCTTCGTTTTATATGCAGCCATCCCTTATTCTTTGGGATTTGTCTTTCAGTGTAAAACACATAAGAGACCTTCGACAACAGTAGCGAGATCAGGTGGCAAGAGCTGTTATATTACAATTCAACCCCTAAACTTCCGTTTGATTCCAACGGAGGCCGTTGGCTAACCTGAAAAATAAAACAGGGAAAACAATCTGGCCAGCGAACTCACGTCACCGTCACCGTCAAGACTCGGCGAACGACTCCGACGACGCTGACGGCGATGCTGCTGCTGGTTGTTGTTGGTGGAGGACTCTTAAGTAATCTCGGACGTCGAATCCCACCCCTTCTTCGCCGTCTACCACCGGCGCTAGGAACGGCGGCCGCGACACCTCGGGGAGCAGCTCCCACATCACCCCCTCGAAGAAGGGATGCGCCTTCACCTCATCCGCACCCCTGGCGTGCCCCAGACGCTGGGTCGGGTCCTTGGCGAGGAGCCGCTCGATGAGATCGGTGAGGTCGGTGCGCCGCTGTCCGGAGAACTGGGGCGGCCGCGTGAGCACGTTGCGGAACGTCTCCTTCCGGTTCCGCCCCCGGAACGGCGTCCTCCCGTACGCCATCTCGTATGCCAGGATCCCCAGAGCCCACCAGTCCACCGCGAAACCGTGCCCGTCGCCGCGCACCACCTCCGGGGCCACGTACTCCTCCGTCCCTACGAAGGAGAACGACCGCTCGTCGCCTCCGCCTGAGGTGGAGGTAGAGCTCGTCCTTCGGCGGCTCAGCGGCGAGACCCTGGCCGACCTGGCGTTCTTCTTGAGGTGGTCTTCCGCGGTGCCGAAGACGAAGATCCGGGCAAGACTCCGGCGGTGGCGACGGTTGTGATCAGAGGGGAGTGGAGGCGGAGGACGAAGAGGGGAGAGGTTGGTGGAGGATCTCGAGGGGAGGTAGCGGGAGAGGTCGAAGTCGGTGAGGGTAATGTGGCCGGAGGACTGGAGGAGGACGTTCTCGGGTTTAAGGTCACGGTAGGCGATGCGGAGGGAGTGAAGGTGGGCGAGGGCGGCGATGATCTCGGAGAGGTAGAACCGGATGGCGGCGATGGAGAAGGCGTCGTCGTCAGGGGAGAGGGAGCGGCGGAGGGCGTGGAGATCGCCGCCGGAGCAGTAGGGAAGTGCCCACGCGAGGAGGTCGGGCGTATCCACGGAGCCGAGAAGGGAGGGCAGGAAAGGGTGGTGGTTGCGGCTGTCAGACTGAGAGAAGGCAGAGAGGAGGGACAGCTCCCAGCGGGCACGACGGAGGGCGTCGGGCTTGGCGGAGGCGCACAGCTTGTCGACCACCTTGAGAGCGAAGAGCGCGGGGAGGAGGGACGGGGCCGGGTCCGGGTCCGGGTCCGGGTCCGGGTCCGGGCCCCGGTCGGCGGCCCTGACGAGGAAGACGGTGCCCATGGCTCCGCGGCCCAGGACGCGGACTGCCCTGAGCCGGTCGAGGTCCAGCACTGCCTCCTCCATTAGGATTTGCAGCAATGCGTGGTGTACGCTACAGGTATGGCGTGCCAATGTTTTGTTTACTTACGTCGTCTTTGCTTGCTTCAGTCTCCTGTTAACTTCTTCTTCTTCTTCTTCGGTCAGATGTGGTGATGGAAAGGCAACAAAGGAGAGACGTCTCGGTGGAGGGAGTAGGAGACGATACACACAAAAGAAAGAGAGAGAGCAGGTGGCGGGTTATAATGAAGTCGCTGTAAGTGTATGTGTATGTTTCCACATCTAAATATTTTATAGATATTGATTTAATGATTGCTTAACAGAATCATACATGTACTTTTTTTGGACGGAGATTACCGTCGAGAGTAAAAGCTTCAGGAGACAGGAGCTGCTAAGAATTCTGGTACGAAATCTGCATTAATTAATCATCCCAGCTTTAGTTTGACCATTTAATTAGAGTATATTTAGTGTGTTATGTCAAATATTTGGCTAAGCATTAATACTGGCTGGCATAATAGTGGTAGTAAACTATACAGTTGAGCGATAAACCAGGAGATTGTTAAATGGTTAGCTATAATAGCCAGAGGAATTTTGAATGTTGAAAGTTCTTAGAAGAAGGGTAGGTAGAGTACAATAGAAGGAGAACTGAGCTGGGATCCTTCGCTACTCATGTTTTCTTATTGGTGATATGACTACCCGTACATCGATGGTCTAGAAAATGAAGGATTCCTTCCATTGGAGTGAGGAGATTGATAACGTGAGACAAGGGGAGGGGGGGAGGAGGTGGTACGGTTGATTTGTGTAGGAATCACATGCAAAGAGAAATCAATTCACAAGGAATGATAAGATGAGTGAGGCTTTCTTCTGCAGCAGCCGATTCCCTTCCCTACAATAATAATTGCCTATAGGCTGCTCATCAGTCCGGAGGAAGAAGAAAAGGCTTCTTTCTCTCCCTTTCCTGTTGATTCGTTTCAGAGCAATTGAAGTCTGGGAGTTGCATGGTTAACGTATGACCGCAGCGAACATGACTTTGCTTGAATCAACCTTTGTAAAGCATATTACATCCCTGGATTTCAGCCGGAAATTGGGTGATCTCCACTTTTGTTATGCTATTTGTTAATTTCTCTTCTTTGGTAGGGTTGGCATTAAGATAATCTAAATATAAGAGAGAGGGAGAGAGAGAGAGAGAGAGAGGACTTAACTAATAGTACAAAAGAAGGTTCCTTTGGTAAGGTGGTAGACTTAAATTTTGGTACACATTACATGTAGCAATGTGACAGGATACTACTGCTTTCTAAGACTGAAGTGGGATGATAGGTTAGTCACAAGGGTATTTAGTACACGAAAAAAAAAAGGTCCTTCCGAGTAGGTGCATCAACAAAGAAGATCATCTAGTGATCTTAGGATTTCTTTGGTTGGAAGATAAAGTGATCACTTAAATTGCAATGCTGTTCCTAATCAAGTGAATTAAAGATTCAAACAATATGTTGGACCATTAATTAGTAATCTACCCCAGAACTACATTTCTGATCAGTATTTTTATCCAAAGTTTTGCAGTTTTCAGTATCTAGTTTCAAGTTTCTTTTCTTCAGGAAATTTACTGACTTCTACTAAACTAAGTTGTCAATGTTAAGAAGCATCAAGTCAACTTCTTGTACTGTATACAACACTATCCCATTTCTTAGTTGTTAATCCAACAAGGAGAAATCATAATGAATGCATTGGTTTAACTAGGACAAGTACAAATGGCTAAGTCAACATGTAATTAGTTTGCCAACATGACAACCTAGAAAGTCCTCAGCAAGAGTAAGGAGATTTTTCAGATGATTGAGACACACATCAAGCATGGCTATGACTTTGTTCTCAAAGCTCTACATGATCTGGCTTGCGTTCCAGCTCACGGCATGGCTGATGATTAATTCTACTACATCTGATCAATTCAAACTTCAAGTGACTCATCATCCTATTCGCTTCATCTAAGAAAGCATTCATCATAGTCACTTTCTAGACGAAGACCAGCATCCTTTATTCTGCCTTATCTTTCTTCTTGTTGCTAAACAAAGTCCCTACTAAATGATACAAGATTGAGAAAGTTAAGGATTGTTGGTGACTCCGGTCGGCCATCATTGGGTCGGGGGAGAAATCTTAACCCCGACTTCTCTAGTGGGGTCAGAGTTCGTTGTGTCCTTGCATGCACTTCCACTATGGTAACAATGGCTGGCAACATGAACAAGCTTCAAGTCAAAGGGAAGGAGATTTGTTGGGAGTGACTCGGTCGATCATCATACACCTCTAGTGATGAAAAAGAAGGGTTCTTTTTTTACGGTTTCAATATTGGTGCTTGATCATGTAAAGGGAGACATCACGCAAAAGGAATTGGTTTTTAATACCCAATCATGCAGCACATATATATCACTTGTGATGGTCTTGGGCTTCTTTCACTAAAGTTGCCAATAGAGGAAAGTCACGAAGGATGTCCAAGTGAGTGTAAGATGGATGATCCCTATATATATATATATATATATATATATATATAAGAGTATGAGATAATAAATATTAAAATTTATTTATGCGATATATTGATTCATAATAAATTAATAATAACACATAATTTAAATTAAAAAATAAAATTTATCTTGAGAAAAAAGAACAACAAAGATTATAGCAATGAAAAGACAAAGGCAAAAATAAAAGAGACTGATGGAGAACAAATGATAAAAAATTAGACCACCACATCATAAACATAATGTGTGAGCACAAAGAAGACGAAGTGAGAGACGATGATAAACGTTTAGAAGGAAAAAATATCAAGAGACCACTACATGCCTAATGTGGGACTAGTCGATTTTCATCCACCTGGGACAAAACCAAAAATTCCTGAGCTCATAATCAATACGATTTGTATCCACCTGGGGCAAAACTAGTCGATTTGCATCCTCCTGAGGTAAAACCAAAAGTTCCTGAGTTCATAATCAATACGATTTGTATCCACCTGGGACAAAACCAAAAGTTCCTAAACTCATAATCAGGAAGAGAGATTACATACGTACGACACCTTACCAGGCAAGGACTATGTGTTGTTGTTGATGATCACTTTTACGACGATATCTCCTCTCGCCATTGATGATAATTTTAATTTTTTTTAAAAAAAAATAAATTATATATATTATAATAATGATAATTTATTATGAATCAACATTCACAAATAAATTCTAATGTCATTTAACTCAAACTAACAAAATTTATATGCTATACTTTTTAAAATATAAAAATTATTTTAAATTTGAATAAATTATAAGGACTAAAATAAATCTTAATCTAATAGATAATCATAATTATAATTTATTTTAATAAGTTTTCTCACAATGAGTTTTATTAAAAGAGACGAATTAAAATAGCTTCTAATGTTAAAACAATAATTCGATGGATTTATTTTTTTATGAATATAATTCTTTATAAATTAAAAAAAATAATATCATATAATTACGGATAAATTAAAAAAAACTTTTCTATTTCAAAAGTTCTTACAAAACATCTCAACTATCAAAAATTCCAACAAAACACTCATTATTAAATAAAAAAATATCAAATCAATTCAAGTCGGATCCGCCTCCTCCTCCGTATTAGTAGTTCTCCAATCGAATCGAGTCATATACCTTCTAACAACTCACCATCTCCTCCCTCAGTATTAGTTCTCCCACTCCGTCACCTCCTCCAACTTCACCAATAGCGCTTCCTCCTCCCACTTAGCTATCTCCTCGCCTCCCCATTAGGTTCCCTCCCACATGGCTTCATCATCCTCTCAAACCGACGTTTCCTCCCCCACGCCATTAGTTTCCTTCTCCCTCTCTCCTATGGCTTCATCCTCCTCCCACTCCACCCTGAGGAAGAGGATGAAGCAAATATGGAGTGGGCGGAGGAGACGAAGGTAGAATGAGAGGAAGAAGCTAAGGAGAAGATAAAGAAAGCCAATGAGAAGAGAGAAGACGACGGAGTGAAACGTTGAAGAGGCGATAGAAGTAAGAGGATGAGAAGGTGATAAAGGTAAAGTAAGAAGAGGCGAATGTGAAGTGGGAGAAGACGATAGGGAGGGAAAGGAGGCGACGATGTGAGAGGAGAAAGTGAAATGGAGGTGAAAGAGACCAAGGGATTTGAAAGAAATCAAAAGGCAAATTTAGACCTAAATTGAATGATTTAAGGTTTAATTGAACATAATTCATTTCAAAAAACTAATTAAATATTAAAAATCCAAATCATACTTAGTCAAAGTCGATCATCTTTTTATGATTTTATTAAGGACATTTTGATCAAATTTTTAAAAAATAACCCTTGATAAAAATTAAATATGAAAATATAATCTCGTAAAAGATCGTTAAAGACTTTTTTGATAAATTACTCAAAATAATTCTAATATAATTAGTATCATTGTGTATATTTGTTTAATAATTTTATAATAATACATTATTAAAATTAACAAATGAAATAAAACTGGAAGGATTTTTTTTAGAAATACAAAAAAACGCCGAATTACATGGGAGACGACATCAGTGAAAAACAAATAACAGAGATTTTCGAATAAAATACCCTAATAAAATTGATAAAACAGTTATTCAAAGAGACATTTGGTTCAAAAAACGGAAACAAGCTTTACCATATAAGGTGATTAGTTGCAGTGTTTAATATGATTGCAAACAATATAAAAAAAAAGAACGAAGATAATGCCATCTCCCAAAACTTAATGTGCTTTTAGCCTAAAATGCCACCGAGCCTGTCTACCAAAACTTAATGCTCTTGTATTCTAAGAAAGCGACCGAGGAAATCCAACTCTGCAAGCAAATGTGATAAGATATGGAACCCCAATGGAACACGAGACAGCACCAAAAGAAAAAGCCGCACGTGTAACGAAGGGCACCTTCCATCTCCCGAGCATGTAACTGTGTCAGCCATTGGATTTCTCCGGCCGACACCTGACTTATGATCGGTAGCAAAATTAAGAGAGAGACAATTGGGGGAAAAACATCACGAACTATTGCATTTCTAAACGGTGAAAGAAGCTAAAGATCTAGTAGAAGAAGAAAACACCGATCAAACGAAATCCAAAGAGAGAAGAGGGGGGCGGGCGGGGTAAAGGCGTGTATTCCTGCGGCGTGAAGAAAGCCACACTCCATCATTGATAGGTGGGATTAACTTTGCTTTGGCTGGTCACAGGAAGCCTTCACCCATGGCGAACAAAGAGATCGCCCACGGCTCCGACGGAGGAAGAGGGTAACGGCTGGTGCGTGGCTAGGGTTTACTAACGAGGGGAAGCAAGAGGCAAGTGATGGCGAATGCTTGGTTATTTATAGGCTAGCTGGCTTTCGGTTTGGGTCGCACACATGGTTGTTGGACGCAACAAACTTGGGCCCAAATTGAGGCCCATTACGTGGCTCTATTAGGCTTATAGGACGACGAAAAAAATTTAAAATTTTTCTCGACAAAATTCACTATTTTCTGATTTCTAAATAATATTTTTTTACCTAATATCTAAAAATATCCTCATATAATATTTTTCATATATATTTTTTTAAATATTTTTAATAATATTAAAAATAATATAATATTTTTAATACTATATTATAATAATTTTATTTTATTATTAAAAATATTATATTGTAATATTTTTGTAGTGTTGTTGAAAACACTGTAATATTAAAATATTATAAACACGCTAGAATGCAGTGTCATAAGCTGTGTCACAATATTTTTTTGATATTATTAAATATATTATAATATATTTACAAGAAAAAAGAAATTATTTTAGCTATTATGTAAAAAATACTGTTTGAAAATTCTAAAAATAGAGATACTTTTCAAAAAAAAAAATACGCACATTATTTACAGGAGTTCGATGATCCAAGATCGTAAATATGCACACTCACAATACAGTTCGTTGCTCTTGAGATCAATTCACGCCTCTCAGCGTTACATGAAAGCCTTCTCCAGATGCATACCATCGAAACCTCTCCGGCCTTGTCTCCCTCCTACTTCCTACCGCTCCGTCGCCGCTCTCCTCCTTCCCGCCTCTTCGGTTCCGCTCCCGAACTCCTCTCCGCCGCACCCATTGGTCGAAACCTTCGCCAGCCTATGCCACCGAGGCGCCTTCTCCGACGCCATCGCTGCCATGGGTTCCCTCGAGGTTCACGGCCTTCGCGCCGACCCCATCTCCTACTCAAACCTCATCAAGCTCTGCATCAGGAACAATGCCGTCGACGAAGGCCGGCTCGTCCACCGCCACCTCTCTTCGGACGGTGACCACCCTGAGCTGTTCCTCTCGAACACTTTGATGAGCATGTACACGAAATTTGGCCTCGTATACGAGGCACGACAGCTGTTCGATAGAATGGGTGAGAGAAATGTAGTGTCCTGGACTACCATGATCTCCGTGATGACGAATCTCAAGCGGAATGAAGAAGCCTTAAGGCTTCTGATCTCTATGCAAAGGGAAGGGGTGGCTCCCAATATGTACACTTTCTCAGCTGTTCTCCGGGCCTGCCAAACATTAGCGTCCCTCTGGTCGGTTCATTGTTGCATTGTTAAGTATGGTTTGGAATCGGATGTCTTCGTCAGGAGCTCTCTCATTGATGTCTACTCGAAATTTGGTGATCTGGACTACGGATATCGGGTTTTTAAGGAGATGGCGACACGCGACTTGGTGGTTTGGAATTCCATTATCGGTGGCTTTGCGCAGGGCGGAGATGGATACAAGGCTATCAATCTATTTGCCCAGATGAAGAGGGCGGGCTTCTTGGCAAACCAAGGCACGTTGGCCAGTGTTTTGAGAGCTTGCACCGGAATGGTGCTACTCGAGATGGGAAGGCAAGTTCATGTCCATGTGCTCAAGCATGAGAGGGATTTGATTCTGAACAATGCGCTGCTAGATATGTACTGCAAGTGTGGGAGCTTGGAGGATGCAGATGCCGTGTTCCAGAGGATGTCAGAGAGGGATGTGATCTCATGGAGCACGATGATCTCAGGCTTGGCACAGAATGGAAGAAGCGGTGACGCATTGAAGCTTTTTGAGTCCATGAAGATTTTGGGTCCTAAACCAAACCATATCACCATTGTGGGAGTTCTGTTTGCCTGTAGCCATGCTGGTCTTGCGGAAGATGGGTGGTACTACTTCAGGTCTATGAAGAAACTCTTCGATCTACAGCCAGGAAGAGAGCACTATGGTTGCATGGTCGATCTGCTTGGAAGAGCTGGGAAGCTCGAGGAAGCTCTCAAGTTTATCCAGGATATGAATTTTGAACCTGATACAGTCATCTGGAGAACACTTCTTGGAGCTTGCAGAGTTCACAAGAATGCAAATTTAGCAGCACATGCAGCTAAGGAGATTCTTAGATTACAACCAGATGATGAAGGGGCATATATACTCTTATCCAACATTTATGCTGATTCTCACCGATGGAATGAGGTGGAACAGGTGAGGAAATCCATGAGAGACCATCAGGTGAGGAAGGAGCCAGGTCGCAGCTGGATCGAAGTGGGCAAAAAGATCCATGTCTTCATCGTTGGGGACATGTCACACCCACGAGCAGATGGCATTGAGAAAGAATTGAGCCGTTTGATCAGTAGAATAGCCAACATAGGGTACGTGCCGGACACAGATTTTGTGTTGCATGATGTAGGAAAAGAGCAGAAGGAAGAATCACTACGGTACCACAGTGAGAAGCTAGCAATTGCATTTGGAGTGTTGAACTCAACCAGAAGTAAGCCGATCAGGATAATGAAGAACCTAAGGATATGTGGTGACTGTCACACCTTTGCTAAGCTCGTTGCTAAGTCTGAGGACATGACCATCATAATAAGGGACCCTGTTCGGTTTCACCATTTCCAGGATGGAGCTTGCTCATGTGGTGATTACTGGTAATGGTCCTAAAAGAGCAGCAGATAAGATTAATACTTGGTGACTTTGTTCTGCTCATTTGTAATTTGCACCAAAATATTTCTTCAGAGTTGACTAGCCGGTGAATGATTGAGGTGGTCATTAGTAACTGGGAAAGTAGTGTCATGATCATGCTACTGCAATTAGGTGATGGATTATATAGTGTAAGATGGACGAAATAGTCGTGCCTTTTGTCAATTCATCCAACAGGAGAACTTCACTAAGATGGTGAAGCTAACAAGGGAAGCCAGAGACTGATTACTCTATGGGCACCAAGTATACGAGTTATCAAGGTGCTGCCCTGTGCAGAATCAACTATCTCCAGCATTTAGGACAAAAAACCGAGGAGCATTATGTTTTGTTCATTTTGTTCTAAGGATTCCAGCTGAAGAGAATTCTTATGATTATAAATACAACAGGTGAGATTATATCTGCTATATGTGTTCTTTGTTTTACAAGAATAAATGAGATTCGTCTTCTTAAAATTTCCAGAATGGCAATGGTACTTAGTGGATGAGCTTTCAAGCAGAGGTTTGGCCTAAATGGTATGTTGGAAGTACATTTTACTGAATATAGTTACCTTATCAAGAAGATTTTATTATTTCAACATAGTCAATGCAACAAATGCACAATATTCAAAAACAGTATAATTAATATTATCTCATATCATATCATTCTAAAAACACAGAAATCTTACAAAATGTCATGAGGATTATCGTAGTTAGGTTTTTAATTTTTTTATGACATATTGGTGTTTACACTGATTTCTATCTTTTTTTTTTAGATTCATAAATAATATTTTGATTTTATATCTTTTTCTCCAAAAGATACACTTAGATATCTTTAAAGGATGGCTTGAAACAGTCCTTTGGTCAAAAATTCACTTTGAGATCTCAATTATATTGATTTTTCACACTACGGAATATCATTCAAAAATAACATATTTGGGGTCTAAAATTCTTCTAAATTAGCTTAAGGATAATTCTGGATAGTTACACAATTTTTTATTCTTATTGAAATGAAATTTTGTCAAATTTTTTTTATTTTTTTAGTATCTACGAAAAGAATACTCTTCAATATATGTTGATATTAGTGGAAAGAACACATCTGAGATGAAATGATCAGTTTTAGTGTGGGTTACACTCATCTAAATTGATTCATACTCATTTAAAAAGATCTATAAAATCAGTTTATTTATATTACTTATTTTTTGTTAACATAACATAATATAATATAATAATAGAAAGAACTGAAAGAGGAGGTCGAGAAAAACAAAAAATATCAGACTCACATTTTATTACTGGAAATTACTCTCGATATTGTCGTAGATATTTATCTTTGTTTATTCCCTGATAACATAAGCCATCACAAAACCTATCGTGGGAGCAATTGTCGGATCTGCTGCAGTTCTCTATGCATTCACAGCCTTTGTGGTCCTCACAAGCCGGCAAGTCAAGTCAAGTCGAGAAAAGAAACAATAAGTGCGAATGTATTATACCGACGTAAATTTCTATAAATATGATCGATGTGATGGTCGACAGTGAACGAACGTTCCTTCTTCATTGCCACATTTTACTGACTTGCATTGTTTAAGGATGTTGTTTATTCGTCGCCTGCAGTGATGCTTCCGTGAATGGCCCCCACGCGACGCGCCACCAACCGCGCTCTTTTGGTAAAACCACTCGGCTCAAAGTGTCGGTTCGACCCACGTAGCCAATTAGCAAATCGCAATAGCACATCACCGGTCCTTTCGCCCCACCAAATCGGTGCCGCGTGGTCTTACGATGAGCTGTCCTCCGGCCCACCGTCTGTGTGTCTGGTTGTTGAGACGTCAATGATGGAAGGGAGAGAGAGAGAGAGAGAGAGAGGCAGCTCGGCCGACGCTAAACCGGGCTCAATTATTGTCAGTTACGATGTCCAACTCGCCCAATTAATTCACCACTGGGAAGAAATAGAGGCCTCTGATGTCACCAATCAAGAGGAGAAGGTGCAGCGACGACTCATCTGAGCGGCTAATGGTTGGGTTGAGATGATCAAAATCGTCGATTAACTCGTTGATGTATGATTCGTATTATGCGTATCTTTCTTGTATTCCTGTCCATTAATTGTGATGCTCGTCCGGCGCCGAGGTGAAACCAAATCGTCGAATTCTGGAGCTCAGCAGCATGATGCTCTTCTGGCGCGGACCTGCTCGTGACGGTGTCCGTGCGGTGCTGTCGGAGAGAAGGAAGACCGATCTAATGGCGTACGCGTCTCTTCCTCATCCATCGATGCTGTAGGTAAGTTTAATTTTCTTGGGATTTTCTTTAGATTTATGTTGAACCTATTTCTAATATCTTACTTGAATCAAAATTGCAAATAATCGAGAAAATTAGATAGTTAAATCAAAATTCTTCGGCACTCTTTCCTTAGGTGCGCTCGAAATCCTCACCTCACAGGCTCACATCGCTTTCTTAGCTGTAAGCGCGGCTAATGTTCTTTCTGGCGCAGTTGGCAGTGTCGGCGGACGCCTTAAAATATAAATAAAACGCCAAAACGACGCCAACTCTCCAAAAATAAAAAAGGAGTGGCAGAACGGGAGGGGCTGTGAAAAATAATACAATAAGATGCATGTGGTCGAAGTCCTCTCCCTCTTCACAGACAGCTCTGATGTCGCTGTCCACACTGTGTTGCTCGTTGATCTTTCACGTTTATTGATTAACCACTCTTCGGTGATCGCCTCATTTTTTTCTCTCTATCTTTTACTTAACCAACCGACAAAAGAAGTGACGGTGAAAAAAATGGATGCGTTGTTAGTGAGAAGGAAGGAATAATAAGAGGGATTGGGATGAAGAGGGCAGGTTGAGGTAGACGACCCCCGAGCGAGAAAAAGGAGAGCGAGAGAGAGAGAGAGAGAGAGGGACTGACTGTCCTCCCCCTCTCCATTCCACAGATCGAGAGGCGAGGGAGGAGGGATCGCTTCTGCTTCCCCATTCCTATCCCGAGAGTGGAGTTGATTCTTCGGATCTGTCAAGATAGAGCCTCACCCGCCGCGGACAAGGGATGGAGGCGAGTGCTGGTCTGGTCGCCGGCTCTCACAACCGGAACGAGCTCGTCGTCATCCGCCGCGATGGAGAATCGGCGGTACTTGTTCTTCCTTTCCTGTCAGCTATTAGTCAGCAAGTTGGGGGGGAAGTTTCAGTTTGCATTCCCTTTTACTGTTGGGTGTGGAGGTTTTTGACTTGATCTTGCTTGCAGCCAAAGCCGCTCCAGCAGCTGAGCGGGCAAATCTGCCAGATCTGCGGTGATGACGTCGGCCTCACCGTCGATGGGGATCTCTTCGTCGCCTGCAACGAGTGCGCCTTCCCCATTTGCAGGACTTGCTACGAGTACGAGCGCCGGGAGGGCAACCAGGTTTGCCCCCAGTGCAAGACCAGGTTTAAACGGCTCAAGGGTAAAAACCTCAAACACGACGCCCTCACTAACTCCTCCCTGCTTCAATTCTTGTAGATCTGTTGCGGAGGATTTTGTTTCCATGGTCATAGTTGATGCATACAGATCTTCTGCTGTTTTGGACCTCCTCTTAAGATTTGGTTCACTTCGTAATTGGTATAATATTGATCATAAAAAAACGCCTATATTTCCTTGGCAAGAAATCTCTCTAGTCCTCGGTCCTTCTTGTAGTGCTGCTGGATATGTCTCTATTTTATATTCATTCTGGTATGAAATTACACAATATCGAAGAGCAACAAATTCCCAACTCCACAATCTCAGACAAAAATAATCAAATTATTTGAAGATAATCCAATTATATTTTAATCAATCAGATAATAATGATCAATTTATGATGAATTTTATGTTAGTTTGGTACTAATAAAAAATATGATTCCTTGTGTGCATACATAGAGATGGAAATCATGCAGAAAAATGTAATTCATTCATTCTACCTGATATTCTTTTTTTTATGGTAAACCCATGTAGTAGATCAGTCTAGCATGCTTCTTGCAATAAACCTTTGTATAATTTCTTCCCTTCCGATTCTCTTGTCATAGATCTCTCTGGCCTTGTATCCTTCTTGTGTCACATTGTTGAATTTCTAATCCTCTCATGTAGGGTGTCCTCGTGTGGCTGGCGATGACGAAGAGGATGGCGTAGATGATCTTGAGAATGAGTTCAACTTTGTTGGGGGACACAAGCAGGAGTCACAGTACATGGCTGATGCTATGCTGCAGGGCCATATGAGCTATGGTAGATGGGGTGACATCAATGCGCCTAATATGGCTCATAATGCACCTCAAGTTCCTCTGCTCACCAATGGCGAGATGGTACTTGAACTCATAACTTGCTGTCAATACTTTGCACACACTAAAATAACACAGTCTGATGGTTCTGTTAATTTTGCTTCCAGGTTGATGATATTCCTCCCGAACAGCATGCCCTCGTCCCTTCTTTCATGGGTGGCGGAGGGAAAAGGATCCATCCGCTTCCCTTTTCAGACCCCGCTCTTCCAGGTATCCAGAATTCTACATTGCCACTAGGAATACTTGTCTAAAGATGAGAAATTATAATGTTGATCCATCAGGTTTTCTAGTTCATGAAAAAATTTAATGTAAAGCTCTTCCCTTGCAGTGCAACCTAGATCAATGGACCCCTCCAAGGATCTTGCAGCTTACGGATATGGAAGTGTGGCATGGAAAGAACGAATGGAGAATTGGAAGCAGAAGCAAGAGAAAATGCACATGACTAGGAATGATGGTGGTGGTAGAGATTGGGATAATGATGGTGATGAATCTGATTTACCATTGTAAGCTCCATGTCTTTTGATAAATCGAGCATCTTGAGAAAAATCATATTTTATAAGCATCGATGGTGATATACTCTAGTTATTGAGTCTAACACTGTACAGGTTGTTCTCATTTATTTCTTTTATTATGTTATAATCTTGTAATAGTTCTTAGTCAGTTTGACGCCATCTTTCATATGCAATTGCTAGTACTAGTTACCCGATGAGCTGTACTGTAACAACATAAAATGAAAACATGCAAAAACTTTCCAGTATTCTGTATGTTTTGTTTGACAAAATAGTGTCAACCTTATGCACCGAATACTGTCTTTACCTAAGGTTCTGGACATGATGATGTACATTATGAATTTCTCAATAATTTAATTCTTCATGTTCCATGAGTTCCGTTTTCATGTATATAGTTGATTCTGATGATTTGCTATGCAGGCTTTTTTCTTTTTGAAATTCCTTAATGTTCTAAATTTTGGTTCAATTTATGTAAAAGTTGAATTTAGGACTGACCAATTAGTAATATTAACGGTGTAATTAATATCTAGAGGTTCCTTCCTTTCATCAATATGATAGAGGAAAAGTCTCCGGGTAAAAAAATTGTTGCCAGATGAAATTTTTTGGTTGTTTTCTCTGGATGGTTACAAAATGATTATGGGTTATTTACAACTGTGTTTCAAGTGAAGTCATTAGGGAAAAAGCCTTGGGAAGTTCTTTCATGTTCAACTATCAATTGTATTGGGCTGGTTGATTAAAAGGGAAATATTTATTTCTGATATATTGTTTTTGCATCAGCACAAAAGGTTATATCAGATATTGCCACCTTCTTGTATTTCATGTTCTTATTTGTTAAGCCAAATAAGTTGTCATGTTTGAGAGGTAATCACATTTGGTTTCTTTGTAAGATTAATTGTTCAATTTGTTTTCTGTAGAATGGATGAAGCACGACAACCATTGTCAAGAAAGCTGCCAATATCTTCCAGCCAAATAAACCCATACAGAATGATCATCATAATTCGTCTGGTAGTTGTTGGATTTTTCTTCCATTATCGGATCATGAACCCTGCAGTTGATGCGTATCCATTGTGGCTCATATCCGTCATTTGCGAAATCTGGTTTGCTATGTCATGGATTCTGGATCAGTTTCCCAAGTGGCTTCCAATTGAAAGGGAAACTTATCTCGACAGATTGTCATTAAGGTAGCTGAAGTTGTCATTATCAAATTTTTTGTTTAACTTGAATAATTTACTCAGACATTTGCCTAATTATTCATTCTTTTCTAGATATGAAAAAGAAGGGCAGCCTTCTCAACTATCTCCGATAGACATATTCGTGAGTACAGTTGATCCTATGAAGGAACCACCTTTGATCACTGCAAACACTGTCCTCTCAATTCTTGCTGTGGATTACCCTGTTGAAAAAGTTTCTTGCTATGTTTCTGATGATGGTGCTGCGATGTTAACGTTTGAAGCATTATCAGAAACATCTGAATTTGCAAAGAAATGGGTTCCTTTTTGTAAGAAATTCAATGTTGAGCCCCGTGCACCAGAATGGTATTTTCAGCAAAAGATGGACTATTTAAAGGATAAGGTCCATCCTTCATTTGTTAAAGAAAGGAGAGCAATGAAGGTATGAAAGACTACATCTATTTTCATTGAATAAATATGCATATAAACAATTCTATGAACTTGACATAGTTTGCAGAGGGGACTCTGTGTATATTTTAATTGACAAATTTTGCATATAAATAATTCTCTGGAATCTGATGTTGTTTGCAGAGAGAATATGAGGAATTCAAGGTACGAATAAATGCATTAGTTTCAAAAGCACAAAAGGTACCAGAAGAAGGATGGACCATGCAAGATGGAACACTCTGGCCTGGAAACAATGTCCGTGATCATCCAGGGATGATTCAGGTAAATTTTTACTTACCTATACCGTAAGTGAGTTAGGTACATCACCACCAATGATAACATTTTAGGTATCTATTCTAAATTTTTATTTGCTGCAGTCGTATCAAGCTGCTGCTTCTTTTTTTTTTTTGCCAATTCAATTGATAGTTTTGTTGCTATCATAAATTTTTAGGTCTTTTTGGGGCAAAGTGGTGGGCATGATGTGGAAGGAAATGAACTGCCACGCTTGGTTTATGTCTCTAGAGAAAAGAGGCCAGGTTTCAACCATCACAAAAAGGCTGGTGCTATGAATGCTTTGGTAACAAACTGTCACTTGGATTGATTTTCTTGCCTTAGTGTAACAGTAGCTTTAGATTTACTTATTTGGTTCTATTGCTTTTGTCAGGTTCGAGTCTCTGCTGTACTTACAAATGCACCTTACTTGTTGAATGTGGATTGTGACCACTACTTCAACAATTGCAAGGCTATACGAGAGGCAATGTGCTTCATGATGGATCCACTTGTAGGAAAGAAAGTGTGCTATGTGCAGTTCCCGCAGAGGTTCGACGGTATTGATCGACATGATCGCTATGCTAATCGAAACATTGTGTTTTTTGATGTAAGTATCTCCATGTCACATGTGATTCACATTCTTTAGTTTCACTTTTGAATGTCCTTTGCACATTTTCTTCGCTTTTAAGTTCATGTACCTGGTATGCTTAGAGAAGCAAAACAAAACATGATGCAGATCAATATGAAAGGTTTGGATGGAATTCAAGGACCCATTTATGTGGGCACTGGATGTGCTTTCAGAAGACAGTCGCTCTATGGATATAGTGCTCCGAAGTCAAAGAAGCCACCAACTAGGACTTGCAATTGTTGGCCTAAGTGGTGCTGTTGTGCGTGCTGTTGTTCTGGCACGAGGAAGAAGAAAACAGCAAAAGCTAAGCAGGAAAAGAAAAAGAATAGTTCCAAGAGAGGTGATAATGAAGCACCAGAATTTGCACTGGAGTCCATTGAAGAAGGAAAGCAAGGTAAGTACATGCCTTTAGTTGGTCAATTACTACATGTTATTTTAGACTATGATTCAAATTTACCGACTAAGGCCATACTTCCACGTAGAGTTTGACGACCTTCTGGTGCTTCTTGTTCTTTTCTTGTAGTTCTAGTAACCATATGATCATGATCATCAAGATAGGACATGACTCGATTTAGCGTTAGTGTAATTCTTAGATAGGTGTGTGTACATCATCTTAAGAGGTCCACAGTGCTTAAATACTCATCTGGATTTTCATTCTGTTTGTAACTCGATACCTTTTTGTAAAATAGACAGTGAAATAGGCCACTCTATTGTCAATTATGCATTTTTTAAGTGCTTTCACCTTTATCTGTCATGTGGTTTAAACCTAAAATATATCCATTACTCCCTTTTAGGCAACACTAGTTGATAGAAGGTATAATTTTACAGCTGTCAGAAATAAGTTAATAGTCGTTCCTGTTTTTGTGTCATCCATAATGTCTCAATGTGCTAGCCTTTTAATTAATTGACAGGAAACGGGAGTGAAAAACCACATCTGATGTCTGAAGAGAAGTTAGAAAAGAGATTTGGACAGTCTCCTGTTTTTGTTGCGTCTACTCTCCTTGAGAATGGTGGAACACCAAAAGGTGCTACTCCAGCATCTCTTTTAAAGGAAGCTATCCATGTTATTAGCTGTGGCTATGAAGACAAGACAGAATGGGGAAAAGAGGTAATTATTTTGTCTTGATATCTTTTATATAACATTTTAGCTATCTTCCTAATTTGCTTCGTTTTCATCACAGATTGGATGGATCTATGGTTCAGTCACAGAAGATATATTGACAGGATTCAAAATGCATTGCCACGGGTGGAGATCCATATATTGTGTACCGACAAGGCCTGCATTCAAAGGTTCTGCACCTCTCAATCTCTCAGATCGTCTTCACCAGGTTCTTAGGTGGGCTCTTGGGTCCGTGGAAATTTTCTTGAGCAAACACTGCCCTCTCTGGTATGGATATGGAAGTGGGCTGAAATGGTTGGAACGGATGTCATACATTAATGCCACTGTTTATCCTTGGACATCAATTCCTCTTTTGGCCTACTGCACGTTGCCTGCCGTTTGCTTGCTCACTGGAAAATTTATTACCCCAGAGGTAAGAGTGCATTCTTATTTCCAATTGGATTGTTCTTAGAAATTATTAATGCTAATAATGACTTGTGCTTTAAACTGCAGCTTAGCAATGTAGCAAGTCTTTGGTTCCTGTCGCTTTTCATCTGTATCTTTGCCACGAGCATTCTGGAAATGAGATGGAGTGGTGTCGGCATTGATGACTGGTGGAGAAATGAACAGTTTTGGGTTATTGGAGGTGTTTCCTCGCATCTGTTTGCTGTGTTTCAGGGGCTTTTAAAGGTCCTTGCAGGTATAGACACCAACTTCACTGTGACGACGAAGGCTGGTGACGATGAAGAGTTCTCCGAGTTGTACACATTCAAATGGACCACGCTGCTCATCCCTCCTACAACTTTGCTTATTGTGAACTTCATTGGTGTGGTAGCTGGTGTCTCTAACGCAATAAACAACGGATATGAATCATGGGGACCTCTGTTCGGGAAGCTCTTTTTCTCCTTCTGGGTGATCGTCCACCTGTATCCTTTCCTCAAAGGTCTTGTTGGTCGACAGAACCGGACACCTACAATTGTCATTGTGTGGTCCATCCTCCTCGCATCAATTTTCTCTCTGCTGTGGGTGCGGATTGATCCGTTCTTGGCAAAGTCAGATGGGCCGCTCTTGGAGGAGTGTGGGTTGGACTGCAACTAAGCACCAGATCGGTCAGTATTCAAAATCCAGCTTATTTGTTGTCATTGGCAGGCACAGGTAGTAACAGGACCTTTTTAAGTCTTCCACGGGTACATGGATCCTGCTTTCTCGATTGTAGATAGAAGGTGTGCTACAATTTTTTTCTCCCTAATATCCTCTACTCCGTCTACCAAAACTTCCGATCATGGAATCGGTAGGTTGGTATAGCCATGTGTAGTATGTTTGCGCAAGATAAGCAGATGCAACTCTGGTTTTTTATTAGTTTTTGTGGGTAGACGTTGTTCGTGTATTGTTGCAGTCATGTATATTGATTCATCTCAATAAGGCAGGCCCGGCCTGACCCACGAACATAAAGAAGGTTCATCAAATACTTTTTAGTCGATTCTGTTTTGCCTTTCTTTGGAAATGTGTATTTTAGCTATTTCTAATGATACAGCATGATTAAGAACACGGTAGTAGTAAATGTTCAATCATAATATCTATGTACTTGTTCAGGAAAATAAATTGTAATGATACATCGCATCTCAGACTTCATAGGAGGTTCTTCTCTTCCATGGCATGATCGTTTCACTGCCTTTGTTATCAACACTTGAAGCCTGGCTGTATGCGTAGATGATATTTGGCGCAACTTTTAATTCGAAAGGTAATTATCTAATCTGGCTTCTGGGAACTTTATTTTGGTGACTTTTGGATAACAAATTAAAATTTTAAGAACTTGTCTTTAATTGTTTGATTGTCGAGGCGGCCTCTGCAGGCGGATGATAGGTCTTATAAACAATTGTGTCTCCACCTGGATGAATGAGAGACTCCATTCGGTAGCAAATGAGATTGTAATATGAAATGGTCTCTGTCAAATCTATAGCAGCAGTAAATGTATTTCCATCAAAGATTCAGAAATGTTTACTCAAGAACAACAGAAATGTCAAACCCTTCCCAACCATGAACTATGAAATGAATCGGCAATGTATGTTCTAAAAGCTCCCTCGCTTATGAGCTACATAAAGCTAGCTATACAGCTCCTTCATCAAATGCTAATCCACAGTTACGCCTTCGTCTCGCCGAGCTCCACATCCTTCACCGAAGCGTTTTCGACAGCGTCCTTGAGAAGGCGGATGTCCTCTTCGGTCAAACTGGTTTTGGATAGAAACTTAGCCTTAGCTTGCTTTTCCGATTCCACAGCCCAACTATAGACGACCATCCCGATGACAGCGATCGCCATTCCCATTATGTTATTTAGAGTCAATTCTGAATCAAACAGCAGCCAACCAAGTATAAGCACGCAGACTGTCTTCATATGGCCGAGAACCTGGAAGGACACTGCTGAGAAGCGACCGATGCAGAGATACTGGCTGATGTTGCAGAACACAGCAAGTAGACAAGAGAGGAGTATGAAGATCTGCATGGCGATCAGCGTCAGGTTAATATTAGGTTTTGCCCTTTGACCTACGGAAGAACACGGAACGGAAAAGGTTGGAGGGAAGAACTTACGATTGCACCAGGAGAAAACTCATATTTGAGTATGGATTTGCCGTTGAGGCAGTAATCTATGATGGGTCCAAGAGATACGAGGGAAAGAGCTTGCATGGGGGCTGTCTTGCTCAGCAGCTCGAAGGAACCTATTGCGTACTTCTTCTGCAATGACCCAATTGACTGCACACAGAGAAATGCAACACCAAAAGATTGATGTTTTAATTAACCTTATAAATCTCACCGCTTAACACTAAAATGATAATTACTCGAAATCCATGAGGACATTTGCAAGCAATATCGGTGGAATAGAGTGATCGAAACTTGAGACTAAAAACTCACGATTTGTTGGAAGGAAGACGATACGACTGCTGCGCAAGCACAGAAGAAGCCTTTGGCGTTAACCTTGACGTCTGTCACTGTGCAAACCCCAACCCCAACGACGACTACAACCACGGCCATCTTTACTTCTTTCGAATACTGCTTGCCATGGAGGATCCACTCCATGACACAAACCACGGGAATCATGCTCAGCTTTGAGATCTAAGGCTCGGATAGAGGCGATGTTTAGTTAGCATGACAAGCAAAACTTGTGATTCATTCTTTTCAGAAGAAGTTGAGATTGAACAGCACCTGATAGAAGCCGACGGAGTTGAGCATAAGGCTCAAGTTCATGCCGGTGATGGAGAGGTTGGCGACAAGCGAAAACCACAGGAGCTCCCACAGTGGGACATGCTTCGACGCAGAAAACCCGGTGGCATTCGACACCAGGCCAGCAAGTGCAGTCACGGCAAAGTGGAATCCGGTCAGAGTTGTTGCTGGGAGTCGCATAAGGCAAAGTTAGAAGACATGGAGCAAGGATGGATGGTGACCTCGACAAGGCAAAGTGGCAAGTATAATCCTCTCCCTGAACCAGGAAGGAACGAACTCTAGAGAGAGAGGGAGAGAGAGAGAGAGAGAGAGAGAGTTGCAGTACGCTACGGACCGAAGGTGAAGGCGTAATCGTTGGCGGACAAGAGGTGCTTGTTGGCCATGATGATTCCCACGGAGCTGATGACGTTCATGGCCCACGCACCCACGTTCGACACCGCCGACAAACTCTTCCCGTCCTCCATAGCTCCCGCCTCCCGGATTGGATTGGAGTAGTTGACCTCCCGAAGGCCGCAGGTAGGGGAAGGAGGAAGCAGAAGAGGAGGGGATCGAGGGTGGGTCGGCGAGTTCCACGAAGTGAAAGAATGAGAAGAGGGATAGGAGCGGCGAAGGACATAAAAGGATGATGATGGTGTTTGGCAAACGTAGTTGACTTCCGTCACCTTCCCACCTTCGCTCATTAATTCCTTTTGGTCACTCATAAAAGGAAGGCTTTCCCTGCCTTCCGCGTGGTTCATACATTTCCCATGCACGCTCCATATGCTGCACAACGTTTTCTGGAACAGAGAGCAGTAATTGAATGCTAGTAATAGAATACTAATCCTGTAATTGTGCATTTGCCAATCCTATAAATCCCAAGAAAGAGTGACTGAGAGAGAAGGAGAAGCAGAACTAGCGATCTTACATAAATGAACAAAAATTCGGAGGATTTTCTCCAATACTTATAACGTAAGACACCAGTCTTTGGTGACACGTAGCGTCTGTTTTCTCTCATCCGGGAGCTAATGACAAATAAAATATCTATCTCTATTTACTTAAATATCGTTTGTTTTACCAATAAAAATATAAAAATAAAATATAAAAATATAATTTTAATGTTTTAGTTAGTAGTGATGGATGATAGGGGTAGTGGCGGATGACAACGCCGCTAGGGATTGCTAGTGGATATTATAGATGAGAAAAGTGATGACGAGAGGTAAGAGCCGCTTTGCATCTACATTGATGCTGACATAGTTGCCAACCGACGAAAGGATCGCTTGATATCTACATCGGTAGCCCTTTTACTGCTCGGCAATTGCGTCAACGTTGATACATATGCATGGTGGCAAAAGGGTCGCTCGAGTGATTGTTGTGAATGAGAAGAGTGACGACGAGAGATGAGGCCTACTCAACAACTATGTTGATGTTGATGCAAATGCAGAGTGACCCTCGTATCTTGTCATTGCTCTCCTTATCCACGACAATCACCTAAGTGGTTCTTTTGTCATTCTACATCTATGTCAGCATCAATGTAGTTATCCGAGCGGTGAAAGGATCATCGATGTAGATGCAGATGTAGAGCGACGTCGTTGGCCAATTGCGTCGACATCGACGCAAATGCATTGCGACATTCATCTCTCGTCGTCATTCTCTTTATTTTTTACTCATCGTCGTCATTCATCTCACGTCGTCATTCATCTCTCGACGCAAATGCATTGCGACATTCATCTCTCGTCGTCAATCAGCTACTCACGACCCCCAACGACGTCAGCGTCGACACCACCAATTGAAATGTTAAAATTATTTTTTTATCTTTTTTTTATATATATTTTCATAATGATGTTACGATAAACCAACAATTCAGCGTCGACATTCATCTCTCGACGCAAACCAACAATGTTACGATAAATGAAATTAGATTTTTTTACTTTTATAATTATAAAAATTTTAGTAAATTTTTTTCAAATCTAAAAAGCAAGATACTAATATATGTAATGAGTTCATTTTTCGACTTCTTTTGGTCTCTTTTTCTACATCCATTACGCTCCTCTCTAAAACACGCAGCTCACAATAAATGCCCACCGACTGTGGTCTTTTCTAACGTTCGAACTCCTTCTCCCAATACAGTCGGCACGACCCTCCACGTTCCGAAGGGTGGAAGTGGATCCGGTAATACTCTTTGTTTTTTGTGTCCAAGTGGATTCGAACACGATGATATGAAATTATATTCACTTCAACACCTTTTGGAATCGCATGCATATCCATACATACAAATAATTTGATTTACTTGTATGGATCGATATTGTGCACACCACAAATATTTCACTTACAAAGACTGCTTCCATCTCCTTCGCAGCTCTCACGTAAAGCTAGTCAAAACCAAAGTACAAGTCAAATGCAATCTTGGTTACAGCTAGAGGACCGCATTCCGAAGGAAGTCATGTGCCAATGGTTACTGCATCGATCGATCATCGCAATTCTTTTTTCCTGATGGAAAAGAAATCTGGATCCCAAGCAACGTTCGCCGCCCGGATCGCGTCTCCCGATACTAATTGCTTTAACCGTGTACGAAGTCAACGGGAAGCTTTGTTGACCTCGAAGATGGTGCACCCGCGTGATTGCTTAATGGCATGAGATAACCGAGGGATTAGACTTGCATAATGGTAGCTCACTACTTTATTACTAGTTTATCGATCATCCTCGATTGCACTGTGCTCGTTGAGCTTCCGTAATCTTCTGGTGGATGCAGCCAATTCATACCTCGTTTGCTTTCAATCGTGTCATGAGACCTCTTTTTTGGTTTTTTTGGGGTACTAATTTCAAGTAAGCATATGTGTTGGATGTGGCAGCATAGTAAGTATGGCGAAAAGAAAATTTTAATTGGGAGACAAAAAAAAGAGAGACGCAAGTAGATATTTAAGTAAATACTGTAAAAGACAAACTTATAAGATGAAATTATCTCCTACCTCTGTCTTGTCGTAAGGTTCCGTCGCCCTCGTCTCTTGTGTCATCTTCCTCCACTCTCACCGTTTTTGCCCTACCTCACCATCCTCGTCTACATGCCCTAGTCATCGTTTTTACTTGTGCACCCTCGTTGTCATTGTCGTCCTCGTTAGAGTAAGTTCTTGTGGTCGCTATGGACGTTGGTAACGATGTAGCTATCGAGAAGTTAGCTTCGACCTTGGGCTGCTCCTAGCCCCCACCACTGCTATGTTGTCGCATGATGGTCGATGGAATTATGTGCAATTAGAACAAATACAATCCGACGTAGGAAACCAGGCAATAGGTTGAGGGGCATGTGATGAGGCAAGCGATGAGGTCGAGCGCATGCATAGCTAGAGAAGACAAGCGACAAACAAGTGAGGAACACATGAACGATGGGCAACGATACAAATGGCATGTGGGGGCACACAAGGCCTCACAATAAAGGCGAGGAGGCAAAGGCAACAAGCAATTGCAAGGAATGAAGGCGACAACCGACGGAACATAGACTAAGAGCAATTTCATCTTTTAGATAATAAAAAGTGCTCTACAGGAATAAATAAAAAAAACTCTAAATGAGAAAAAGGAAAAATAAGAGATTTTTTAGAGAAATTATCTTATATCATAATTAAAGTTATACTCGATGAAAGTTCGACAAATTAATATAGGTTGATAGTATTAGATATTTATTATAGAAAAAAATATAGTAAAAAATTTTACTAAAAATAAATTGTGAAATTTTAAAGATGATAATGTAAACACTTTTAACAATATGATGAAAAGGAAGATGACTTGAGACTTAAATGAGAATAATATTAATATTATTTAGACTACGATAACTAATAAGATTAGGAACTTAACAAAGAAAATTCTTTATAAAACTAAAAGGTAAAGGTGTAAGTTTAAAAGAGAGTTGATACTGGTACGAGAAAGTTTAAAAAATAATTTTTACTAAGAAATCATATTTTAAATATTGATAAAAAATATAAAAATAAGAATTTAAAATATATAAATAATCTAAAAAAGAGACTAAAAATGATTAGTATGACAAGATATAAAAATTATGATAATTTTAATAATAAATTAGGTATTAAAGATGGTAAAACAAATATATATATATATGTATATCGAATTGTTAAAACTAAGAAAAGTCAACATTAGATACATTAAAAACGAAAATAAAAAATACTTATTAATGATAACGAGATTAATGAAAATATTTTTATAGATTATTTAATAAAGTAAAATATGCATTGAAGAAGATAAAAATAATTAAGAGTGTTGGCCTATGGATCCCTATTGAGATCTTAAAAAGTTTACGAAATAAAAAAGTAGCTTGATTAACTAACTTATTTAATAAAATCATGAGATTCAAAAGGATAATTGATGAATGAAAAAAAAAATTATGCTAATTTATAAAAAATAAGGATGACATATAAAATTATTCAAATTATAAAAAAATTTAAAATCATGAGTCACACTACAAAATTTTAGGAAAGAGTTATAAAAAATGTAATAAGGCTTGAAACAAATATCTCTAAAAATTAATTTAATTTTATGTTTGAAAGATCAATGTGTATGATACTTAGGAAATGTATCTAATGAGTTTCCTATGAAGATAAACTTATATAAAAAATCTGTATTAAATCATTTATGATATTGATAATGGATGAACTTACTAATCACTTACATAGTAAACTTAGGTAAAATTAATAAAAACTTAGGTAAAATTAATTATAAACTCGAGCTAGGAAAGTAAATCTCATAAACTAAATATTTTAGATTAAGATTAAAATTATATATATATATATATAATACTAATAATTTTAAAAAATAGATAAGAGAATATAATTAAGTTGGATGAAAAAATCTCTTTAAATAAAAACTTTAGATATTTTAAATCAATTATTCAATAAAATAGAGAGATTGATAAAGATATTATTCATAAAGTAAAAATCAAAATTATTAAAATGGCAACGAACATCAAAAGTCTTATGTGATCATCATATATCTTTAAAACAAATATATAAAATAATTATAAAATCAATAATATTTTATCTAAGTGTTAAACAATTAAGAAACAACATATATAAAAAAATATTAAGATGAATACGTGAAATTACAAAGAAAGATAAAAAAATATATACATTTATTCGTAAACAACTAAATATCGTTTTCATGAATGATAAGATAAAAAATATATTATTTAAGATTATAAGAGCATATGTTTATAAAATCCCCACTCAAAAAAGATAAAATAATTAATGTTAGTGATACAAGAAGAAATTTTAAAAAAAACTAACTAGATAAGCCATAAATACATATTTAGATATTCTAAACTTAACTAAACATATAACTTTTTATAAGTCTCATAAAATATTCATATAATCGATCTCAAATAATTAAAACTCATAATATTATTATTATTATTGATTTTATTACCTTCATAAAGAATAAGAATAACACACAACAAAGCCAACAAAATCCAAACACTTTTGATGTATAAAAAACACCGACTCTCAGATGTAACAGCAATTTGCAAACAGCTCTTTTACTTTATATTGAATTTCATATTTATTAGATCATACCTGAATCAATCTTCAGCTGTCTTTATTTTGCCATCATTAGGTGAACTGATTTGACAAGCAATGAAATTACCTTCATCAAATAACCTCTTTAGATCTGATCTGTGAGGATGAACTGATTTGA